ACAAATAAAAAGGTGTTAATATTTCTGATGTGAATTGTATTTATATGGAAAATTAATATTCAGGTCTTGTTTACTAATTTGCTGATATCAAGTGTAGACTGAAAGCACACTCCCAGCAGAGGTGTCAGCTAAAAATAGATATAAGTAACATTACCTCATCCAAAACTGTTTTAGTGTATAAATTTGTACATGTCCCATGTCATGTCCTGTCATGCAAGTCATGCATCAAGCAAAGATCTGATAGATGTCACTGTTTATGATTGTGTTGCTTGTGATTGTGTTAGCTTGTGTTAGCGTGTGTTGTTTTCATTGGATTGAAGGTGAAGATCAACATGGTATTTACTGTTTGTTCATTATTGAAGATGGCTTGTATGTATGTAATTTGGTTTGCTGTATTTTTGCTTCCAACTTCCCAATACTCTTACATGTCTGTTTCAGTCATGTGTGCACCAGAGATGAGACTATTTTAAACTGAATGTCAAATTGACATGGATTGGTAAGGTTTGACTGGATGTAATCATTTCACAGGGTCGAGAGTGAAACACACACTCACACAGTGTTGTGAAAGCTGATATGGATCACCAAGATACAAACACCCAATGTCCTTTAGATCGAAATAGGAAAGTCATGTACATGAGGAGGAGTGACAGTGTCTAGTCATAAGCCACATCAATTGGGGCTTAGTTTCAAAGAAAATTCAAATAATATTTTCAATGAATGAATTAACTACCTTGGTAAACCCACAAATAATAGTTGTCCTTGTAGAACCAAAAAATATGTTACCCCGTAAGAACCAAAGAATAATAGTTGCCCTGGTTGAACCCCAAAATAGTAGTTGCCCTGTTAGAACCCCAAAATAGTAGTTGTCCTGGTAGAACCCCAAAATTGTAGTTGCCCTGGTAGAACCCCAAAATAGAAGTTGCCCTGGTATATAGAACCCCAAAATAGTAGTTGTCCTGTTAGAACCCCAAAATAGAAGTTGCCCTGTTAGAACCCAAAAATATTAGTTGCCCTGGTAGAACCCCAAAATAGTAGTTGTCCTGGTAGAACCTTAAAGAATAATAGTTGCCCTGAAGGTTACCAAAGTGTGGTATTAGCTGTCAATGATATAGCCCCTACTTGTCCTTGTTAACTTGTTACCTAGCCAAAGATTGTCTTTGGTGTACATGAGAGAAATCCCTTGTGGACATGATGATGAGTTTTACCCTAGAAGTACCACAAACGTTCCTCACAAGGATGTACAAGCGTGTTTCTAAATCATTGTCCATGTGTATCTGAAAAGTTGCTAAACACGCACAGGTTTTTATCTGCAATAGATACTTGTTTGGAATACCAGGGTTTACATTGTTTTCTACAACTGTCATGACATGAATATATTCCTGAAGAAGCAGAGTTGAGATAGTTGGAATATTTCTGCTGTGGCATGTTGCCAGTGTACATGATTACCCCAGGTGTGTGTTTCTGTCAGGTAGCATTAGTTTGAAGTTGCTTTCCACATTTCTCCTGGCCAGTCTCTCTTAGTACTCAGTCTATTTCTGTTGTATCAGTACCTTTTGAAGTCTGTAAAACTCTCCGCTTTGATTGTCGGATTCAGTGGCAGGTGATACTATGATTTATTCTCATTAACTTTAAGGATGTATTCATTTGAAAAATGATTAACATAGTCGGTAAGGAAATGTCACATTTCAAGCTTTGTTGAATTGTTTAATATTGTATGAAACTTGTTCAGACAGGTTTAAATGACTGACAACTAACCTTTTTTTAACTAACTTTCTGAACTTCAAATGTAACAAATAGCAAACACAGGATTATATTTAAATGTACATAAATGATCCTCTGAAAACTTCTATTATCAGCCTTTGTGACACATTTTGTCCTTACCTATGTCATAAGTCCCAAACATGGACATTTTGAAATAACTAATGTCTAGTTTTCAACTTTAAAATTCTAAACATATTGTTTAATTGTTAAATTATGCAGATCCTGTGGTCCAAAAAGAATCCTCCTTCCTCCTTTCAGACAAAAGCCTCAAGTGAACCAGTTGCACACATTGTTTATGTTTAGTAGTGAATGTGTATCATTTATATCATCATCATCATCATGGATTTAGGCATAAACATGACCATTATTATTTTAAGTATAAAACTATACCCATGTCAGGATTTTCATGGTGTTTATTTTAATATATTTTCTGTTTCTGCTTAGTCATGAAACTTACTTCCAGACTGTGACAAAATGGTTGAACCAGTGTCCATAAATGTTCATCTTTGTGCTGTTAATGAACCTAATGTCCATAAAGACCTTGATACCTTATTAGGGTAACACATGGCCATATAAGGCTCACAGCTAAACACAACCCATATATGGCATAGGCTGGTGACCTTATATGGTGTGTGTGGCCATTTTGTTTTGAAAGAAATAATGGACTTGATAAGTGATTGTCCTGGAAGGATTAATGTTGACCTGTGTCAGTAAGTGTTTGATGTTTGATCAGGACTTGTGATAAGGGGCAAGATTTTGTGTAGGCTGTAAAGTGCTATAATCATGAAAACCCACCCTTGTTAGTGTAAAGGATCTCAGTTTTATCATGTACAGACTTAGTTGACTGCATGTATATATGAACTTTATCATGTTTATTTTGTAGTCTTGTGTCTCTTTTCTAAGCTGGAGCTACTGTCATTGTGAATATGTGCATGTTCTTTCTGTACAGAATAAAATCATTGTTTTCAAGTATTTTCTGTTTTTGCCTTTGTCACCCTGGGGAACTGGGGCAGAATAGGACCCAAATACTGAAGCTTGTCATGATGTCGGACTTGTGTGACTTGGTTTGTGTGAAATCCTCATCCCAGATAAACACTTAGTACACTGTACAAAATATATTTATCATGAACATTTCCCTTTTGACTACACAACTTGACATACATCTGAATGAAGGACCTGTGGCAGGCAGTGATCATGCTGATCCACCAGTTCTGCCTTTTGTCTGTCTTCTGTTACACTTACATAATTACCAGCAATGCATGTATAAGAAAGTGCGGCACTGATGAAATCCAAGGGGCTATAATTCACCTTGCAGAGTTGTGTCCCTTACTCGTGCCAGGCACCTGATTGTGGGAGCAAGCCTCAGGATCCCGATTGTTTATCGGTACCACATCAATTTCACCAAAGTGATTAACAGCGGAGAACTGCATCACAGATTTTTCTCCCACATCATGCAGCCATGTTGGATGTACTCAATGTACTCTTCAACACAGTGATTAACAACCTAACTCACTCTGTAGAAGGTGAGGTGAAATTGGGGTTTACGTCGTGCTTGAGAATATTTCGCTCATATGACAACGTGCATGCGTGTGTATGTGTATGTGCGGCTGCTTGTACTAGCCCAGACTTAAGTTGGTTTTATAGTGCTAGCCCACTGAGATACCATGCCGCAGTGAAGCATGAATACCCCACTCACACACATTATACTGACTCCGAGCCGACCAGTCCTTGTTGTACCCATTAATGCCGAGCGCCAGGCAGGGACCAACAAGTACCATATTTTAACGTCTTTTGGTATGACGTGGTTGGGGATCGAACCCGCGAGCTTCCACTCTCCGGGCGGACGCTCTAACCACTACACCACAGAGGCGGTCCACTCTGTAGAAGAATAAGGCAATGCTTCATGGTCGTGTACATAAAAATGTATTACAAAATTAAGTTCATGTTAGTTGTTACCATGACAACAAGAGTTCAGGCAATGTTGGCTGTTCATCTATACAGATGTTTTACCAGCAGACAGAGGAACAAATCCATTCACAAGTACATGTAACACCACTCGTCGCCTTATTGCACATAATAACCGGTTACAGCAGTATACAGCTGGGTATGAAATTTGTTTTACAGGAACCATGAAAAAAGACTATTTAGGTGCAGGTAAACAATTGATCTGTCATTCATACACTGAGTGAGTGAGCGAGTTTTGTTTTACGCCGCTTTTAGCAATATTCCAGCAATATCACGATGGGGGACACCAGAAATGGGATTCACATATTATACCCATATGGGGAATCGAACCTGGGTCTTGGGCATGACAAGCAAATGCTTTAACCACTAGGCTATCCCACCGCCCCTCATACGCTGAAGTTAACGCTTTACCTTTACTCAAACATCTAAATGTCAGAAGGAGTGACTGACTGAGTTTAGTTTTACGCCGCTTTTGGCAATATTCCAGCAATACCAGAAATGGGCTTAACACATTGTGCCCATGTGGGGAATCGAACCCGGGTCTTCGGCGTGACGAGCCAACGCTTTAACCACTAGGCCACCCCACCGCCCCTAAATGTCAGAAGGAATGCACATGTAGTCAGAAAGAAATGGGGTCATATTGTTCTGTCATTAAACAATTATTCTAACCATGGCAGCCTGACCTGTACATGTCTCCTGACCTGTGTATCTGAATCACCCATCCCCGACCTAGGAGTCATGAGTGTCTGTGTTTAGGAAGCTGATGAGAACCATTCTGTACAAGCACACTGAATGTGTTGAACACAGACAATACATGTTGCTCACACTGTCAAGCCAAAAATATACAAACTTGCATCCCTCAAACTCAAATCAGAACTTGTTTGGTTAAAAATAGGTGGTTAGACTGCCAAAATGGTTGTATGTATTCTTGGGTGATGAAGCATGCTGTATACAAACCTCAGAAGCACTGACAATGATACCCAAATAGGTACTTGAACAAGCATAAGTATCTATTTTGGAACTACAGGTGACTGACTAACTGACTGACTGAGTTGGTTTTACGCCACTTTAAGCAATATTCCAGCAACATCACGGCGGGGGACACCAGAAATGGGCTTCACACATTGTACCCATGTGGGGATTCGAACCGGAACTACAGTTGAGGTGGGGGATGATGATGATGATGATGATGATGATGGTGGTTTTACCTGATGAAAAATTGAATGCATTCAACTGTGTCAGTCAATCACTATGTATATACTGTATGGTTTGTATAAGTGAGTGACTTGATTTTAACATCACTTTCACCACTATTAAACCATTATAGGCAACAGGCATCACAAATTGGTTTCACCCAGGTGCATACATTGTACCTGTGTGGAATAACACCCAAGTCTTTGGTACTAGGAAACACTTTAACCTATAGGTTAACACATTACCCCTATGTGTTATGGAAGATATTCACGTGGCATAAACTAGACTGTAAGGGTTAACTTCTTTGAGAGGCATTTACAAGTTGGAGCAGTTCGGAAGGATAACAATATATGGACATCTGCTTTAACTTGTATATACTCCTTCATCCTTATGCTGTTCATCACTTGCTTGATAACGGTGTTAGAACCTACACCGAAACATCGCTCTCACAGCAATAAAGAAGTTGTTCATCCATATATTGTTATCCTTCCTAGACTGTAAGGGATTCAACATATTTGCCATCAGAAAATGTCCAGATCATCTAAGCCTTCTTTCATCCAGACTGTTAGCCTTCTCTTTGACATTGCCATGAATGTTGCCAGTCGTGTTGAAGTGTGTGTTGAGGTGTTGATGGTGTAAACTATCTGATCTCCTCGGGTGGCTGTATCTTGTAGGCTGTATCAGACTGTAGCGGTCGCTGTAGCGGATGAGCCAACAACTGTGCCATGTAGTCATGAAGCTTTGTGGGGTTCCGTGATATCTCAACAATGTACGACAACCCCTTGCAGTCCAGGTCGCACAATGTGTTGAAAGTTTCCTGGAATGAAAACATTACATTAAATATATTTGTTTCCCAAATATAATAATAATAATAATAATAATAATAATAATGTAGTTTTGTATAGCGCTAGATTCCATAAAAACATATGCTCAAAGCGCAACAGGGAATAGAATAAAGTACATTATAAAAGACTGGATATTAGAGGGAAAATGTCAACACTAATGAGTCTGTAAACGTGTACAGATTAGGATTCAGGCATAGTAGATGGTGAAGAGGTGAGTTTTCAGCTGTGTCTTAAAATTGTCAAAGGATTTGATTCCTCTCATTTTTAAGGGAAGGTCATTCCACAGCATCGTTGCAGCAGTTCTGAATGCCCTTAGTCCATATCCCTTCATTCTGTAAGGTGCGACTTTCAGGAGATGTTGGCTCCCTGAGCGAAGATTTCTTGCTGGTCGGTGTTCACACAAGAGTTTATTAAGGTATGGGGGAGCTGTGCCCTCATGGCACCTGAATGTCAAGCACAATATCTTGTATTTGATCCTGGCTTCTACTGGAAGCCAGTGAAGGGCCTTGAGAACCGGAGTGACGTGATTAATCCTTGAAATATGACAGTAAGAAGCATTAGCAGTCTTTGGTTCCATCCAGAGGAGGCCTACAGTCTGTTGCTGCAGTTGCAGAAGACAATACATTTATAGTCTTTCACCAACAGTGGACTGCTATGAATATACAATGGATCACTTGCAAATGATATTATGTGTTACATTATTATTTACACATATATCATAATTAATTACACACATTAAACATCAATAATTTATACTTATTAATCATAAATAATGTTGCATCTGTTTCATATATTGTTACCCTGTAGCATTTGTGAAACTTTACCTATGTTACATGGTAGGTTACTCGTGTTGCCCATCTCATCTGTATTACATGATTTATGTTACCTGTGTTGCCCATTGCCTATATCACATACATAGTGTTACCCATGTTGTTTGTTACCTGTTTCACAATTTATGTTACCTGTGGAACTAGTGATGCCCATTACATGTAACATAATAATAATAATAATAAAAAAAAGTGAACTTATAATGCGCCTTTTCCATGCACAAGGCCCATGCTCAAAGCGCTAACAAAGTGGGTGGATAATATACATATATACAATGAGGGACTAGTAGCTAGTCATAATGCAGTGAATACAGATGAGTCTTGAGAAGTCGTTTGAAGGAATTAAAGTCAACTGCTGATTTAATGGTGACAGGGAGAGAGTTCCAGAGTAGAGGAGCAGAGCGGGCAAAGGATTTCCTTCCAAAAGTTTGCAGTTTGAACCGAGGCACAGAGAGTAGGTTCAGATTCTTAGAACGGAGCTGTCTTTCTGGAGTGTATGGGGTAAGAAGTTCTTTCAAGTATTCTGGGCCTTTGCCATCGAGGCATTTGTAGACAAAACACAATATTTTAAAGTCAATTCTAAGCATTACCTGTGTTACAATGACTAGTGTTTCTGGCACCTACCTCACACTTGTTGTCATCAGCTACAGGTTCATGTATGTAGAAGGCATCAAGGAAGAAATATGGGGAAGACTCAAGAAATTTCTGGGCCTGAAATACAGGAACAATATGTGGTCTTCACATGCTCTAGCGTCGGTGAAGACAAATCTGATGTTAACATATCAACTTCCTTAATTTCTTTCAGTACAATGTTTGGGGCGAGTTACTAGCCACTTTGCCAAAGGTGAAGTTATCTGTAGCCATTATAAAGGTACTTTGATAGGGTACTTGTAAAGAATACAAGAACAGGTCAGTTCTGTTCTCAAAACAGAAACTAGGCAACAACTAACAAGAATGTACATCTGGAACCAATACAGAAACAATAGACTAATATTTAGTCCTACATATAGAGTTATCTTATAAAAAATATTATAAACTAAACAAAAAACAGAATCCAGATCAATGCTTAAATTCAGAAGCGGAGGTAATCTAGATTTGCCAAAATCAGTTTAGACTTATGATGGACTTCTTCTTAATTAATCTCTTTACTTCTGGAGGACTGACTACAGAAACTCCTGAGGGAGTTGTCTTCCAGACTCTAGCCACTCTCTCCCACTGGACTTGTGTCTGACCTCAGTCTGTGACAGCCTACCTCTTTATCCGAGAAGTTGAGCTGGCACTGTGACCTGCCGTAGATGAAGATGACACGTACGACATGTGATGGGGGGATAACGCTCTGATCTCCCAGAACTACAGGCAGCTCAACGTTCTCCTTCCTGAAATACACAAACAATGTCAGTCTTATTCCAGACACATTCATAAACAGATTGGTCTGAAACACTGGCTCTAGTAGACCTAATTTTATTTAAAAGTGGATTTTATCTTCTTTCTTTTTACCCATGAAGATCCGGGTTAAAATTGATCTTCAGTAACCCATACTTGTCGTAAGAGGCGACTAACGGGATCGGGTGGTCAGGCTCGCTGACTTGGTTGACACATATCATCGTATCCCAATTGCATAGATCGATGCTCATGTTGTTGATCACTGGATTGTCTGGTCCATACTTGATTATTTCAGACCGCTGCCATATGGCTGTAATATTGCTGACTGCGGCGTAAAACTGCAATCAATCTTCTTTCTTTTCAGGACACTCCAGTACATTTCCAGAATAATTTTGTTCGTGTGTATATAACAAAACATATATTCTTAGATGGCTATTGTTAAATGGTCATATCTATGAAATACTTCTTTGTAGCAGCAGGAAATGTTTTTTCTGGCTTTGAATCTTGATGCTGTGGATCATAAGTGAGATGTAAGTGTCATAGAGACAACTGCAGACTCTGACTTACAGAGTGTTGTACACAGAGGAGAGGTCAAAGGATGTACACTCTGATGTGCTGCTGTACTCCTCCAGATGGTGGATGATTTCCCGAGCACTGTATGTGAAATCACACACCTGAAAGAGCAGGATGTAAACATTACTGTCATCATTGGCAAAACTGGAAAGGGCAGATATTCACCAAGGCAATTACACAGAAATGTACATTTTTTAAACTGGCATGATTGACAAAATGGCCAAACAGAAATGTACTAGTGGCCAAACCACACAACAAAGGGTTTCCATGACGGAGTGGTCTGAAACAAACTTGATTCAAATACTGATTACTTTAAGCTTTTTCGATAATAAATACAAGGCTTATTATATACCTTGTCAAATCCATTGAATGATTTTAAAAATAAAACTCATCTAACAGTAAAACTATGAACCAGTGCCAAACATTACCCAGCATGCCTCCTCCTGCATGATGACTAGTGCGAACTGATGGTAGTGATTCAGTCTCAACTTGGTCTGCAGGAACAACCCAAGAGCTCTCTTTATTAACTTCAGTGGTGCAAATTTATCTCTGAAATCAGATAACACATCATACATATGAACAACTGAACATCAAGTTCACTTAAGGATGTACAGTAAAATGTGATGAGTGTGTGGTCTGAGTTAAAAAGAACAAACAAACTTTACAATTGACAATCCTTCCAAAGAATATCCATTCTTGTCTGTTTAAAGTAACAGATTTGAACACGTTTCCATTTTAGTATCTGACGAATCTTTATCAAAGAGGTAGTCAGTTTTGCAATAATGATTGATAAATTACAACATTAACTTGTAATAAACATTACCCTGATCTTGATCTGAAGCTTAACTTGTTCATTTCTGATGACATATCAAGGCATATTACCTGAAATGAAAAGCAAAAGAAATCATCAGAACAATATTTACATGTATAAGACAAGTATACAACTTCTTCTTTATTGTATAACATGGCTTCTGGGCTTCTTCTTGCCCCTTCTTCTTCATATCACCTGAAGAAGGGGCAAGAAGTAGCCCAGAAGCGTTGTGTTATACAATAAAGAAGAAGTTGTCATCCATATACTCGTCTTATATATTCATCAACTTCTAAATGCCTCTCAAGAATCTCAATATTTACATGGTTAAGTCACAAGAGTAAGTGATTGGGTGAGTTGGGTTTAAAGCTGCGTTTGAACTGTATCCAAGTTATATCATGACATGTTAGTTTAATGTTGGAGGAAAGCTGGAAGTGATGAGTTTCTCAGATGTTGGCCAGTTAGGGGAAACCCACGAACATGGGTATGGTGCTGGCAAACCTAGAAACATAATCAAGATGAATCAGGATCTGAACCCACAAGTATAGGTTCCTGGTGTGCCCACAGAAAACAAACCTGCTCAGCAAATTGCAACATCTGCCATGAACGGGACACTTGAGACCCATTGAAAGGACAGTCTGTTGACAGTTCTGGGTGTTTTTAAAACAATTTTGACACAATTTCTGAGAATAAATCACACCTTTAGTGTATTTCTATTTGCATATTTATTCTTTACATAAATTAGTTCTACAGATCCACATACTGTCATCGAAGCTCTACTAAGAGTGAGCAATAAAGTCACTCTGATGTGTAATTGTCACACAACTCTCTAGTGTCTGTCACACTTGTGATCCCATATCTATATGAATATGCAAAACAATAGGTAAAGCACACCAAAAGGCTTGCATTAGGTTCTTTTCTTCACATTTCAGAATAAACATATTCCTTTATGAACAAGAGAAAAGTCTGGTCACATACACAACAGAAACTTCCCTAATGGAATAAGGCGAGAAAAGCAGAGTAAGCTTGGAGGTTATTGCCTATTGTTGAAAAACAATATTTCAGAATGGTTGATGTACTAGCCTTTTAAATGACATGAGGAAACTGTAATAAACTTACTGAAAGAAAACATCAATACAACCATAACAAATAACTTAATGATATAGTCACTAGGCAGCATGGGGACTCTAAGATTTGTTAATGGTCCATGGTCTCACAGCTTGCTATGCAGAGTTGCATCCCTTTACTACAAGGTTCAGCTGCTTGTTGGTTTGAATCCTAGATCTATTCTAACTATCAAACTGTAATATGAATACCCAATGCCAATTAGAAAGTGGTCAAATGTAACATGAGCGGGTTAGGCCGCTGACTTTGTGTTTTGGCGATTAGGTGCCTAACTCTGAGGGTGTGGGTTCGAATCCTGGATGGGACTCAACCCAACAAAAGTACTAGAACCTGTACTTTACTAAGAAAGTGTAATCCCAAATATAACATATGTTTTATCAAACTGGAGTTTGTGAATGAGCACATGACAGGGTCTGAAGACATCAACACTCCAGATAGCCACTATTATGTTTTCATCAACTCAACAATTATAATTAATGTGTTTTCTTACATTCACAGCTTTTAATTCTTAGGAAAGGATGAGAACAATACATACGATTTTTTCCGGGCAGTTGACTCGAGGATAGTTCAGATCAGTAATTTCACTAATCTGATCAGCTTCATTAAAATCAACATCATCTTTATCACTCGGCTCTGTGTGAGATCTTCTCCTCAGTTCCTGATGATCTGGAACACTAGCAGGAACTTGTTGAACGGTCGGTTCATTCTCAACTCCGATCGGCTCATCTTGCAAGACGGATTCCAATCCATAAAGTGGGTTGGGACTTGGAGAAATACTTCTGGTTTGCGCTGGTATTGGATCCATTGTAAATCACCAAGGTAAAAAGAACAGCTCTTCTTCTGTTACATGAAATAATTCAAACTGCTGACAAAATGATAATAATGTCATTGGACATTGTATTGTCAGTGAATGTCCACTGCTTCTGAAATCTTAACAAAACACCCTCTCTAAGTTGTTGAAGCTGTCATTAATTAAAATCACTTTGTGAGTTACCTCCCTTGGAATTTACCTGTAATCTCGAACAGAAGTTTAATCGCTTCAAAGCTGTGAATGAAGCGCATTTGTTCCGATATAAATATGTTGATAATCTAAATAAATATTATCAATGCGATAATGATCTCTTTCTTGATATGTTTTGTGCAAGAGAGTTTTCATTACATTCCATTTCGGTTCGAGGTTCAAGGCTGTACAAGAAAAATGGTTTCCTGACCTGGCATTCTCTGGTACACACTGTACGCACTTTGAATCTTGTTTTACACAGGTTTATTTCTAAAGCGTCTGCAATTCTTAATGGTTTACGGTTTCATTAAATATATCTTCTATAGACAAATGTTGCCTTATGTGACAGATACTTTACCAGAATATCGCTTGGCTTTTGGCAGGTTTACATCATTTTCGTACATGTTGACATCAGATTTATGACATGTTAGATAATAGCATAACTGTTGAAGAGTGGCTCATTCTGGTTATATCTACAACCAAGCAAAACTTCAGTGATACTTTGCTATTACACTCGCCTCTTAATTATGTTTTGAATGGGGTATGTGTGTGTACGTAAATCAAGTTAAATATTGATCAAGTCTATCATTTTGTGTGTTTAACCCACATCAGTAACTTGTTATGATGTGCATGAGTCATTGGCATGCTGATGGCACAGGAACCCGTTATCGGCATGTAGGTTAAACATAGACCATAGATCTACACGCAAGTCACATATATAAATAGGGTTCCTGTGGCTGATGGTCACATACTTTCCTATTTCACATCCTTTATCTTACATAACATGGTTTTCAGAGTATCATTTATCATTTATTCCAATACATTATTGGAATGCCATATGCTTTTCACTCGAACTAAGATTGTATTGTTTAGAAATTAATATCTGTCAATAGAATGTGATGACTTGACTAAACAGTGCTAAATGTGTCAATAGTGTTGACACAAGGTGATATTTTGTAGGTTGTCAGTTTTGTCCCAGTGTTAGTCCATTGCAGTTCTTGAGCTCATGCTTGCATCTGCAAAGATGTGGCTGCTTCGTTATGTTGCATGCCCAAATTCTTCAGGATGGATGCTGTTGGATAGCGGCAAAAGAACACTAAAATTGAAATGGCTGGAATGTATGGTCGAAATCTTCTTGGAAAGAGTTCCTTCCGTTCCCCAACCCTAAACCTAACTCTAAACCTAACCCTTACTTAAATTTTGGATAATTTTAGTATATTTTAGTATATTTATAAGTATTATTTGGGATGGGGAAATGGGAGGAACTCTTACCATCTTCTCTCCTATAGAAACCAAGAGCTTTGCTTGTGTTGATGTTGACTGTTTGGTGCACCAAAAACACAAAACATTTCTATCTCAACAATGTTATGCTTTTCAACAGATAACTTTACATTCAAACTGTTCTTTCAGCTCCCATGGGAGTACAGCTTTTCACAGCTTTTGGACAGTATGATTACATGCAATCACATTGTACAAGTGGTGTTAAACCAAGTTCACTCGTTTACTCACACATTTGTCTTGTTTTGAAGGGTAATGGGGAGCTAAACAACTACAACAAACACAAGTAGTCTCCATAGTCACTGATAATGAACAACGCCGACCAGGAAAACAACAATATCAACAATGATGCCAACAGGAGACGCAACAGTAACGGAGCTGGTGGGCGGGGTCAGCCCAACCCCATCCTACATGTCCGAGACAGGCTGTTCCATGCCTTATTCTACAGAATAGCAATAACATATGCCAGGGCCTTTCCCCGCCCTGTCAGACGTGTGCTAGAGTGTGCCATTTTGCTGAAGGTGGGTAACATTTCATGAAATTAGTGCAAATCTATGGACCAACACCATCTCAGACGTTAAGTTAGTGGGCATGTTAAACTGAGAAACTCTTTCATGTATTTTACCTCATTTACCTACGATAGTGATCCTGTTTCTGACATTTTGACATTTTGTAAGTGCTCTCTTGTCATAAAAGAATCATTTTGGACATAATCATCAGTACCAGAGATACTGATGCTTGTCAATCATCTCTTGCTCTGTGAGTATTCATGGGCAAAAGTGATTTCCAATAGGGAAACAATAGCTGCAGACAAGATGGCCATTTCTGTAGAACCTTTACCCTTTTTATATTCAAAGGTAAATCTTTTTTCAGATCTTTATTTCATAAGTTAACTAAGAGTACTTAAGTGTTTAAGGTCATAGGTACATAGGCAGTTGTTTAGCTACATGATTAATGATTGTAAAGAGGGGCATGGTGCTTGTTGAAAGCCCAAGATTTTACAGTATGGTTTTGCATCCCTTGGACATGCAAGAAACCAATAATTGTGGGTTTGCAATAGGCATTCAATCTAATAATATTTATTTTACCTTGCCCTGATTCATACTAGTCACTATAGCGTATGAGTCAAGATAAGTGTATATGATAGGTTTGTCAGCACCTTTCTTGTTCTTTCTGTTGCAGGCATTGACAGTCCTGGGTATTTTGGTGTACATACATGTTGTGTTTGCAAGGACTCCCATTAACTGTCTGCAAAGTGTTCAGAAGTCGTGGCCAAGACATGGAATCCTCAGAGTGGAGATTGTCAAGAATGCCTCAGCAAACTACAGCATCATAAACTCATATGAGAAAGAATACTCTGATTTTTCCTTGTATTTGGACAACATAGCTGATGGCATTGCCTATCCTGGGGTAGTACAGGACGAAAGTGCAGATAATGAAACCGAAATTGCTACAAATTTGACAGATAAAGTGTTGACTGAGGATGAGGGGAATGAGATGTTGGGAGGGAATGGAAGTGTTATAGGAGAAGAGGCAGAACCACTGGTCCTGGACGAGGTAGTGGACAAGGTGGTGGACGATGGGGAGTTCAGCAACTACACTGCAGATCACAACAATGACAACATACCTGAGGATGCTGCAGGGGAACACCTCAAAGACACTCTCAGTGAATTAGAAATGTTGGCCAAAGCTGGTAGGTTGTTTTTGATGTAGCAATATTTTTACAGTTAATTGTAAGGGAATTACAGGTAACCCTGGAATAGAAGTCTGATTGTCTCTATTCAGAGGACCCCTGAAGATCCGGGGTAGAATAGGTCTTCAGCAACCCATGTTTGCCACAAAAGGCGACTATGCTTGTCGTAATAGGCGACTAAAGGGATCGGATGGTCAGGCTCGCTGACTTGGTTGACACATGTCATCTGTTCCCAATGGCGCAGATCGATGCTCATTATGTTGATCACTGGATTGTCTGGTCCAGACTCGATTATTTACAGACCGCCGCCATATAGCTGGAATATTGCTGAGTGTGGCGTAAAACTAAACTCACTCACTCACTCTATTCGGAGTTATGATTACAATATGTCCCTAGCCACCTATGCTTGTCACAAGAAGGCAACCAAATGGACCGAGTCTCATGCTCAGCAACTTCGTTAATTCTTGTCATTGTACCCTGATGCTGCTCATGACATTAGCCATTGGTTTGTCTGGTATGGTTCAGTTATTTAACGGTCATCATCATAAACTTGAAATAATGCTGAGTACTATCTTTGAACAACCAACAAGATATGGTTGTGTGCCCATACTACATCTTGTGCCATTGTCATAGTATGGTGTGTCTGCATTTCTAAGTCATGTCTAGGAGCCAAACTATACTCATATGTATTGTCTTCTCAAGCTTATTGTAACCGGATGGAATCCTTTTCAGTGTGGCCAGAGGAGAAGTATATTGTGGAGTATGCCCTGGAGTATGGCTTTCTCCGACTGTCACCCAAGACAAGGCAGCGGCTCAACATCACCGTCATGCTTGTGACTCTCGGTTAGTACTGGATGCATTGCATATTCCGTCATATTCTTCTCAGTTAGTCAATTGTAAGAATGTTTATAAGCTGCTGCTGTAAATCCTTTTAACTAGTGCTCAGTTTGAGCAGTTGTTGAGTTCTTGGAAACACCTAGATCAGTTTTTTAATTCTATTTATGTTTTTTAATGGAAAATCAAAAACTTCTCTGACTTTTTATTTTTGCTGAATGTTGAATGTTTGCTTAAGTCTATGTAATGCTGTGTGTTTAGTGAACATGTTTGATAATGTTGTATGATTGATTGATGCTTTGGGCCTAATAGGTGTGTTTTTTTCCCTATATTATGGTGAATATATTTTCCTATTGTGTAGACAAATATGAGCATGTCTGTGATTCTTTATCCTTGTCTGATTCTGTGTTTCCACTGGTGTCTCTATTATATATGTGTGTGTCTGTGTGATGGAGTCTGTGTATAGCAGATTAAGGCTGTGTGAGACTGTGTTTGATTTTGTCAAATTGAGTTTGATCATGCCAGATTGTATCTACTTTTGTCGATGTTTGTCTTGCTGCAGACCCCCTTAAGGATGAGTGTTTTGGGGACAGCTTCAGCCGCTTCCTGCTGGAGGAGTTCCTTGGATACGATGACATCCTCATGTCCAGCATCAAGCAGCTGGCTGAGCAGGAGGAAAACAAAGGTGTGTCCGAGCTACCTCTCTACATAGTAATACTTGGCAGGCTAGGGTGATGTAGCTTCAGGATAAACACACTAAAAATATGTCTCTCTGACTTTAGTGAATAGTGGGATAGCTAAGTGGTCAAAGTGCATGCCCATAAGGGCCAGGTTTTATTCCCCACAAGGTTGCAGTGTGCCCATCCTAGCTATAAATATGTTTAAAGCTGCATGGAACAGTACACAGTAGCCCTTCAGTGATAAGGAACAAAGTAATGATATGACAATATTGCCTTGCAATGGCTATAAGTGGCATTCTTTGATCTGTAATATCAGTGAAGACAGTTGAAAATGGATTTCAAATCCTTTAGTCTTTCCGTGTGACATTTTGAAACATACAGTCAAATCCCGATGAGTCGAATCGCTGGGGACCAAGTAATAAATTCGACTTATCCATGTATTCGAGACATAGGTATGTCTATGAGGGTAGAAAAAAGATGATCCAGTCCTAATTCCTCCGCCTAAGCATTTGTTTATCTAATGATTTCCATATCACTAATAGGGGCGTCTTATCAGTTCCAGTCTGATTAGCACAGACAATGATTTCCGTAAAATCACTAATCTGCCTTTTGAACTCACCCTTCAATGGCGGAAAGGTGTGAGCCGAGCTGGTTTGTTAATTGGATCAGTTTGCTACACCAATCAACTTCTCATTGACTGACTTCGGCTTATGTATACAAGATTGCTGTTGTTTGAATCTCATGGGACCAAATTTCCTTTTCGAGTCATCGTGTGTATTTATGAGACGAATTCGTGTAACCGGAAATCAAATGATGACAACTATAACAGGGAATGGTCGGGACCGACAGGTACTTCGAGTTATGCATAATATTCGAGACACCGGCATTCGACTCATCGGGATTTGACTGTATGTACTAGCATTTGTAACAGTATGTTGCATTTGGAAGAATCAGGAATTTGAATCTGTCCCCAGTAATTGAGTACAGTGTCAATGTGTGATATCGATGTTAACACAACAGCATTTGTGTGCAGGTTTCCTCAGGAATGTTGTGACAGGGGAACACTACCGGTTTGTCAGCATGTGGATGGCACGGAGCTCCTACATCGCTGCCGCTTTCATCATGCTCGTCTTCGTAAGTACATGACCACAACAAAATTTGGAAGAAGTGTCAAGCAGTTTTAAGTCAATGTTTTATTTTTATCTTTCTGCTCTCAGCGGTTGGGTAGCCTGGTGGTTAAAGCGTCGGCTCGTCACACCGAAGGCCCGGGTTCAATTCCCCACATGGGTACAATGTGCAAAGCCCATTTCTGGTGTCCCCGCTGTGATATTGGCGGATTATTGCTAAAAGCGGCGTAAAACCAAACTCACTCACTCACTCTTTCTGCTCATCTTTGCATCCATTAGCACTGAACTCGTCAAAACTATCCAATATGAGATTCCTGACACATATGCTACATGTCCTTGGCTACAAGTCAAGTGTAGTTTCATTTAAAGTGTGTGTAGATAAATCCATTCAGTACTTTGATCTTTCTTTCAGACTGTGTCGGTGTCAACACTGTTGAGGTATTCTCACCACCAGATCTTCCTCTTCATAGGTAAGTAACAAATAATACAGTTGAAGCGAATTGTTCCAGGTTGGCATCATATAAATATTAGTCTTCTCATGAGATACGTTTCAACAGTGTCATGTACTGGAACAAGGAAAACATCTTATGCCAAGGTTCTTGAATCAGATGCTCAGTGTGGCTGTATGTTTCAGTTGACCTGCTGCAAATGCTGGAGATGAATGTGACTGTTGCCTTCCCAGCTGCTCCCCTGCTCACGGTCATCCTGGCTCTTGTTGGTCAGTACCAATACTGCGGCCACTTCATGACAACTTCCATTGATCAGTGTTCATAGCAGATATTTGAAATTTAAGGAAACCCAGTCTTTGTATTCTTCCAGTGTATATCCATTTTTTTAAATGTTTCTAATTTCCATAAATCAAATGTGAATTTATCTTTATAACATATTTGAAGATTCACAAAATCAGAGAACATTTGATTCAGAGCGTTGAGTCATTATATTTATCACCGTAAAAATAATAGGACTGTTGAAAATGTTTCTTGTTGTGTTGCCAGGTATGGAAGCCATCATGTCTGAGTTCTTCAACGACACTACGACTGCGTTCTATATCATCCTGATAGTGTGGATAGCAGACCAGTATGACGCTATCTGCTGCCACACCAACATCAGCAAGAGACACTGGCTCAGGTAACCGCCCCTGTGGTAGAGCACTGTGTAGGCTAGGTATGGTCCTTATCGTCACCAGTGCTGTGATGGCATTATGGTGAGAAAATGTTTGGCCTTGTAGCCAGCGACCAAGTGGTTAACTATGTGAACTTCTTGTCATGCAGTATAATAGATGATCTAATGTCCTGTTCTACAGTAAGTAAATGTAAAATCTCCAAATCTTCATGATCATCATCATCATCATCATGATCATCATCATCATGTTCTGCAGCCCCAGTTGATGTTGTCTTATTCTTGAGATAGCTTTGAGGATTGGCGTGTTTCTCAACCAATCTGTCAATATTCAGAATTTAATGATTCGGACATATGCTACTTGTCCGAACTATGCTACTTCTGTGGACTGTATTGCTGAAATAGAAAACGGAGTTCAATTTTAAGATGTTTGGTTGTCAGCAATGAAGTTAAATGTGAAGCATTAGTGTTATTGCTCCTGTCAGTAGTGTATTGTGTCCTTTGTAGTGTCGTCTATACAGATAACTACCACACGTGCTACATTGTCATTGCTTTCACAATCAGTTTGTTTAGGGGTTTAGTTTCTGTTGCAGGTTCTTCTACATGTATCACTTCGCCTTTTATGCGTACCACTACCGGTTCAATGGGCAGTACAGTGGTCTGGCCCTCTTCACCTCTTGGCTGTTCATACAGGTCAGTTCAAACTTGGACATCCAGGAAATGCTGTTTTACAAACTCATTATGCAATCTTAGTCAATAAGACTTTCACTTGTGTCATATTTGATGTTCTCATGGGATGTAAGCACAAAACATTGATTAACAATCTCTGGAAACTTTACAATGAGTTGGTTGGGATGTAATCAGTTTGAATATTGCTGTAATACTAATTACCATCACACATCCTATGAAATGCCTTTGGTGGATGTGTTAATAAATAGGTACATCTTGAGTCTGTTTAACAACAGGCCTACTTGATCCTGTGTTTGTAGGGAAGGTTGATGATCGCCAGTTCTTGGTGTAGAATTGTCTGAATATGAATCATGCTCCGTTCAAATCCCAAATTCAAGTAGATGGTCCTTGTTTCAGTGGTAAACACTGAGGACTGCATGTGTTGCCCAATATATGCAGATATGGTGTGATGAATAATCTTCAGAGTAATTTTAAAACCCACTTTACTGCATCACTTTGTTTTCTGCTGTTATAGCTAGTGGTGTTCCGATGATCGAAAATAATCGAAAATGGATCGAAAGAAGGATTAAAAATGATTATCGATTGTAAAAAAAATAATTTTTGATTGATCAATTGAAGTAAACTAACCATTAACTTTGATGAATATTCATGAACAAATATGCACTCAACAGCATAAAGCTATGTGCATTATAAAACTTGAACCACTTTTATTGTAGAATTACAATTCCAGTGTCTTTCTTGCATGCGTGCATTTCATTGCATGACAGTATTAGTTATAAAAAACATTAATTGGAAAAAATCTGGGGAAAAACCCTTAAAATTGCTAAATTACATTAAAAATGTAAACATTTCGATTATAATCGATAATCATTCACCACAAATCCTCCGATAATCGATAGTGGATTTGGTTTCAGATTCCCAACACTAGTTATAGCTAACATTATGTTTTCCAGTTAACCCTGTTGACTGACTGCTTGTGTTGTGTGTTGCCAGCACTCCATGATCTACTTCTTCCACCACTACGAGCTGCCTGCCATCCTCCAGCAGGCCCGGATACAGGAGCTGCTGGCTCAGCCTCACAACCAGGACGCCCACAACAACAACGCCCAACCCAACGCCGCTACTGCTGCTGCTGCCGCAGCTGCAGCTAACATTGATGAACAGCTTAGAGCCAACCTCGGACCTGTAAACAATAATGTCGCTGGAATAAACAATGTTCAGAATGCGGGTCCGGCCAGTGCTGAGAATGTCCCTCAGGGTCAGGAAACTGGACAGGGGCCAAGTGAAGGGTTGGAGCCACCTCTGGAAGGGGCAGTGGATAACCCAGATGACCAGAGAAGCATTGAGAGACGTGTGAATGATCTTCTCTCAGCACTGAATCGACCTTCTACCGACGGTCAAACAGCCAATACCAGGGAGTTTTCTGTGGATAGGGTGCGTGTTTACACACCAGGGACGTTCATGAGGAATTTTCTACGCTTTCGGGGCAATTCTGCTCAAAATCCTCCTAATAATCCTATGCCAAGTCCATCTCCAAGACCCGATTCCCAAAACCTTTCCAGTAACAACCCCCCTGCTTCTCAAACTGAAGCTAATGCTTCTGGAAACAAACCTAATTCTTTTACTGAAGATGAAGTAAGTCTTCATGATAATAAAACACTGAACAGCTCTAGCCATGTGTCTGAACTTTCACCAGGGAGCAGTTCAGACAATCCCTCCACATCAAGTTGTACAGACTCAACTTCGAGGGGTACAAAGCCAACGTCGGGGGCTACTGACTCAGGACTGTTCGATCTGCCAAGAGGAGATAACTCCATGGTGACAGATCACCCTCCTACCTGTGCAAACCCTGCAATGTCTTTGAGCATGGACTCCTATTCTGATAATTCTCAGACGTCAGTGAAAGATGTATATAGTGTACAACCTATACAACATATAGTTGAAAACACTGCCAGTTTAGGTGACTCAGCGCCGCAAGATAACTTGTCAGTGGATCCACCCGACAGGTTGCCTTCGCCAACAACAGAGGGGACAAGTGGACATTCTACATATATACCTGAAGCTTCCACAGACACCTGATAGTGTGGCAACATGGATTTTCACTTTTTGTTAGGAGAAATCTGCATCAAAATTTAAGGAAAGGAGATGATTTTCTTTATGCTTGGTTTCGGAGGTGCTTACCTGCTAAAGTAAATTTACAGTGGGAAAAAATGATTATCTGAAAAGTGTTTATCCTCTTCTGCCAGATGTAAACTTAAGTGACCATGGTGGTGAACTCAAATTAGTTTGCTTCAAGAAGACCAGGTGCCACCTACACGAAGCTAGCTTAGTACTAAGGACATTACAACACCCACTTAAAAGATAAGACTTACAAAAGCCTTAGTGCCATTATTGTTTTATACATATGGTCCTGAATATGAGCAAACCCTGCACACATGGCAATATTCAGATTATTAAAGACTCCTTCCCCCCAATATGAAAGGGCAAATTAAAAACCATTTTTGTTGTGTTTTTTTCTTTTCACAAGGATTTTTTTGCATAAACCAAGATGTAAAATGTCTGACCTAATAAGTAATATTAAGTACGGTATATTTCTAAATGTGTGCTTTAGCATCTACTTTACTGTATATCAGAGATAACTATTTATTGAGAGATCTTTATCATATATGATGTGTATAAGACGGAATGGATGCAGTTATTGAATATGGTTTGCGATTTATGACCTTTTATTTAAGACCAAAATCGTATCCAGGTTGGTCTGCTGGCCATGTTAGTAAACTGACTTCGTCATGGTCATGGAAACAGATGTGATATTGGAAGATTTTGTGCATGCCAATTTTATGTAAAAAAAACAGTCTGAGCAAATGTTTCATAGAAATGATATTTATGTATGTATCATAATAATTAATCCCTGTCTTTTCATAAATCATTTTCATAAGCTTGTGATGTTAACTGTAGAGGTTATTCTTAGAAGGACACTTTGAGTTGGAAAGAAATAAGACTTTGTTATACTCCTGGACGAGATTAGGATGGGTGGGGACAGGTTATATGGCGGATGCAGAGAACACAGCTCAGCATAGGTATCGCATGGGATGAAGAAATAAAGTGGGGGAAAAGATTTATGAATTATTTTCTTCAGTACCTGAGAATCTTCTGTTGATATCATTACTTCAAGGGTATTTTTTGTGATTACAGTGTACTTGTATCATTTCGTCTACCAGAACATTAAATACATTCTCATCCCTGAATAATGCTTGTTTGGAGGCAAAGCAAAGGTTCTCAAAAAACCTTCTTTTGTCTTTCCTGAATCTGTTTCCAGCCATGAAAAATCGTTTGGACTGCATGTGAACCGAGGAGCCAGTCAGTTGCCTGAACACAAGCAATTTGTTTTTTTGTGTATTAGTATATAAGGCAGTACTACGTTTCAGAACATACAGCTAATTCAGTGTAGAATGATAAGATTGGTTAACCTGTTCACCTGTACAAAAGTTGAGATGGTGTTTGAGTTATACATGTGAACGGTAGCTTTCATCTGCTGTCTTGATGATAAAATAGGTGGGAATTACACAACAGCTAGTCTTCTCTCTCCAAAATAATTGTGACTATGGGATGGTATTACCTCCAGGCATATATGATTACTCGTAACTTTGCTGATCAATCTCAAAACCCAGATCTGTCTCCCATGTGGTACCTGTATGTGTGAAGAACTGAAAATGCCTACATGCGTTGTATCAGGTGAAATTTCTAATCAGCCTATAAACAAACCATTGAGAAAGAGTGAGCAAGGCTTTCACACAAAAAAATCTGAGTAGTGTATTTTGAAAACAAGGATGTTCTGACAGCAAACAAATATGTAGCACTATTGGTTATGCTGTATTTATACTGTTGTTTCTAATAATCTTGGCATCAGCACCCAAACAGGTGATTATCAAAACCATGTTTGTTTCCAGTGACATTTTATTGTCTCAAGAACCCATGTGTCCTTAATTTTGAGTGGGTGGTCAGGGTTCACCTGATGCAAGCAAGCTTCTGTGGTTTTGAATACTCAAAAGAAGGGGTGGGGTAGTCTAGTTGTTAAAGCATTCGCTCGTCATGCCAAACACTCAGAATCTATTCCCAACATTGGTACAATGTGCAAAGCCCATTTCTGGTGTCCCCTGCCGTGATGTTGATGGAATATTTGTAAAAGCTGTGTAAAACCAAACTCACTCATTTGAATACACAATGCCATTTAGAAAGTGATCAAATGAAACATGTTATATTTTGCTGGATGGGACTCAACCCAACAAAAAGTGCTAGAATCTGTACTTAACAGAGAAAGTATATATAACATGGGTTACTTCTGTGGTTTTGACAGATCTTACTGCAGAGGTAGATTTTGTTTATTAGTAAGGTGTGAATAAAAGATCTTTTTGCTGCCCAGGTGGCTAGTTTGTCTGTAAACAACCTCACATCTTGCAGCCAATATCATATTGACCAGGATCCATATCGTGCTTGGGTAAAATTTTCCAAGATTTCAGCTTGCTCTAGTCCAGTTCCTGTTTAACACCGTTCTCCTATGAAACGGCCCAGTGTAAAGTAATCTTGGTGCTCATCTTCAGACAGGAATGGCATCAGTTGTAGTGGGAGATATCTCTGAAACACAGGTTATACAAAGAGAATTGTTGAAATTGTAATCCCAAGATGGAATTTGTTATATAATTTCACAGGGAACGTTTTGGACAATCATTAATGTATATCAATTATCTTTATTATTGACCTGAATTATTTAAGATGTGAAGTATGATGATATTTTGTCAACTGGGAAGTGTATGTTAACACTTTACTTGCTCAATTCAATTCTAGGATGTGTGTCAGTTACTGAATCAAATACTAATACTAAAACAGTTGTGCTATGCACAGTGCTTCATTGTAAATATCCATATGCCCCAGACTATTTCTGTTAAGAAAAGTGCACATATTAGACTTGTAATGTTGGACAATATTGCCAAAACACACAGGATTCAGGAATTATAACGGTTAAATTTAAATTTCTATAATTTCCGGCTCTATCGGTCATTATTATTTGAATAGAATCAGCTGGTTTTGTCAGAGTTTCATGACTGATATTAATTCCAAATTTATTTGAATGAGCCTCAGTTTGTTCACAAACCCAGCATAAGGAGTTGTTATTGCCAAAGTGTCTTTCATTGAAGTAACGTAAGTTCCAGAGTTAGACAGTTAGATCCTTGTTTCATGTATCACTTGTTTGTTTCATATACTGCAACGGTATCTGGATATATATGTCATTGATCGGGTTTGACTGATATATTACTAGAAGCAGGATTTTGTGAATGTTGATCATCTGTGATTTATGTGTGTGTAATCTTTTGAATCATAATGTTCCATAATGGTGTAAAGCCATGTCATTTGTATATATCTGATTGCAAGATGCCAGTCCACAGTGGAGACAGGTGTGTAGAATTCAGTGCTCTGTTGTAACTTCTAGTCCAAAGAGTCAGCTTCAGAGTTTGAATGTCCTAATGGTCAAGGTAGCCCTGACTGGTCAGGGAATTCCATCCTACCTGGAGAGCCTGGATTTCAGTTAAATAACTTCAGACCATGGAGGCTGTGCTAAGTTACTTTTGTCAGAGGGGTACACAAAGGATTAGTTAGCTGACTTTGTATGCTGACAGAGTTTGTGTTCGTATCTCGGATGAGACTCAACCTCAAGAGTACTGGAACCTATACTGAAGTGAAATCCCAAATATAACGTTACGGCATTGTGTGTATTCAAATAGTCAGTTGGTCAAAAGAGACTGTTCCAGCTGAGGAATGACCTAATAATGGAGGAATTCCATATTTCAAGGTTGCTGGTCAAAGATGTTTCTGCAAATCCATCCCTCCCTGTCTCCGTACCATACATAACTGAAACATGTTGATACAGATTAAACAGTATTCATTTACTAGACTTGCAGGTTCTCCTAGTTATATTGCCTGATTTAGCAAGATATTGGTATCTGCAAATTTAATATTGTGGAAAAGATCCTTTTCTAAATCAGACAGGTCACAGTTGAAATGCCACGTTGAGCAGCTATTGTAATGAGGGTGTTGGGCAATACTAGCCTCCACTGTCCAAGATTCTCACTAACAGTATTATGGATACAATTTGAACTGATAATTATCTTCAACATTACAACAAATATTTGTCACGATGCCAGTCTAATGTACATATGGTTTGTTCTGTTTTACTGTGGACTGGCAGAGTCTTGACTGCAAGGTCAGGTTGAGGTGTGCAAGGTCGGTGATTGTGTCATGCACGTTTAGTTTGTGTTGATGGGTGCTTGCCGAGTTGTTCATTACGATGTACATTTCATTCCTACTGATACTAACCATATGTGTCAAGGAATTTTCTTATTTGTATTCACTGATTCTTTACTAATGTTAATCTTCAAATACTCTCAAAACAATCTATCTTGATTTTTAGTCATGGAAATGTTTCTATCTAAACAAGGCATTATTATGATTTCAAAAGTGGTGGTTGCTTCCCAAGGAGAAAGACAGGCTACCAAACAATGTCATCTGTGTCTGTCTTTTAATGTGACCAGTTACGTTCAGTTGAAATTCAGGATACTGATAGATGAAACTCAACAGAGCAGCTCTCATGCAATTGTCAGTGGTCCCCTCCTCCAGTGATTTGTAGTCATTCCTCAGATCCTGCTGCCTCCCTCAGCGTGCTCATGTTGGGCTGCTCTGTGTGTTTGTTGTTTAGTTAACAGGTCATGACAACCACGGAAAACCCTCTCCAGGAGAAACTTTGCTGGTCTATGCTATTCATGTAAATAACTGGCAGGGTGATTGACTGAAATAAACCGTATATGAGACAGTGATGTTAGTTCTAGTTGCTTTTTGTTTACGAGATACCATGGAACATTGACTGGACATTCAACGACTATGAGACTGAAATGAAGCTGATTGCCTTGATGGAAGATACAGGCTAGTATAGACTTGGTTCCAGTTTTCAAGGATTCCAACTGCTTCATGCTTGTAGGAGGAATGTGGACTGAGTGATCAGGCTCGGTGATATGGTTGATGGTCTGTCAAGACTTCAATCTCCTGGGCCCACCTGCACAAAAGATCTCACCACTGTCATTATCATAACTCGGACAGACCATACTGTGGCGAAGACTGAAGATGGCTGTAGTGCTAACATCACTTTTGCAAGTCGCCAGGATCGTGTATGATGTTCATGCCTTCAGCCACTGGTTTCTGGTCCAGGTTCAAGTATTTCCAAGCTGCCACGATGTGGGTAACATGTTACCGACATCAGTGGAGTATAAATTCAGCTTGTATAAACAACAAACATGGTTCAATTTCATACATTTTTATTTTAGCAATGTTTTGTTTGCTGAACAATATTTGAAACTGTATAAATAGATAACATATTGTAACAAAATAATATTTTAGTACCAATATATAGCTTAATTTGTGACAAATTGCTGATTAGGTGATAGCGCAAATACACCTTCATACACCCTTTGAACAGAAATAGGAACATGCACAAATGCAGCCAATGTTTGCATTTAAATACCTTTCTCAGTAGTTGAGTCATCTGACACCATTTCATGAGAAAGCTTGTGTGTAAACAATTGGGTATATGTATGTTCATTGCTTAAATTGTTATCCATAGAATATTTACTTGGTACAATGCACAGACAGTGCATACATTAGCATATAATTTGTGAAATAATATATATTAGTTCATATATGGACAATAATTTGACAATTTTGGCCAGTAACAAGGAACATCTCTCAACATCATGAAACCATCGAAGCATGTTTTGCACAAGATGACAATTCTGTGTTATTCAATGGTTATAACAACTGATATTCTGTTCTGCAAAAACTTTAAGTTATATCTGTTTATATTCTGTATGTCTTACATGTGATTATGCTGAATGAAATGAACTTGTTTCATAGGAATGATCAAATTTATGTCTGAATGATTCTACCTTTTAAGATGGCTTAACATGTTCAATTCATATATTCAGAAATGATTAAATATAACAGAATATTAGCAAGATATTTGATTGAAAAAAAATGAAATAACATATTCAAAACAACCCTTAATAATCCAGTATGAAAATTTGAAACATGCATGGATAATTTATGGAATCAATATCATTACTTAGAGGCTGATCTTGAAAGGAATTAGACTGCTCCCTACAACCTATTGTGTCAACTTATGACTATATCAGGTGAATATACATATCGAACCAACAGCTGATCGCTTTGTACAATGATCATCGTGGGTAGTCTGTAAATGCACTTACCATTGCAACATTCCATGACTAGGAATAGTATATAACAGATCAGTATGTAGTAACTATATGAATGGACAGTCGCTTCACTAGGCCAGACCACTGACCTATCTGGTCAACACGGGTCAACAGTGCCATACATTCAACCCACAGAGCCGATGACATCTCGGCCTGCAGTTACTCCTCAAAACACAGCATCTGTGACATACTGTATGTCGTACATATCTTCCCTTGTGTCGTGACAGTTGTCTGCAGTCTGTCTGTGCTGCAGCCTGAAACTGACTGTATCATATAACATCCAATCAACATCAACTTGAAAATTACACTTTCAATTTCCTGCATAATTTGAGGCAATTGTTTTGCCTCACTGTAAAAAGTTGCCCCGGGCTGCCCTAGGTTGCCACTACATCAAGTACACTTCCCTGGACAGAGAATGGGTAGAGAAGATGCTTGCCCTATGAAAACAATCTTCTTGCTTGATTTATGGATTTTCCTGTTCAGATTTGCAAATTATATCCAACAGACCTGATCTTGAGGTCTTTTGAAACCAAAGAGGCATCTATAATTGCATATCTTTTAATCTGACATAACATTGTAAAATTTGATTATTTACTTTTGTGAATATAGACAGGTTTATCCATAAAACAAGAAATATTATTGGTAGAACAGAAAAAAATGTAATATGACAATGTAATGTGTTAATGAAGCCCAATTTTATCCTGCAGGCATCAAGGTATGACAACGGCAGTAACGCCGTCACTGTCTCGTACTATTGTCACGCGTCGGTATCCGATGAAATGTACGTGTGTACCTCACAAGCTATGTCACTCACTGGCCTTACTTGACTACTGGAATAAGTATTGCTTTGTACACCAAACAAATGATTACATACATGAAGCATGCACTTCAACAACTGAAGCACATCTCAACAGAATATGTTAGGTACTGAAAATCATGTTTTAATGGTTGAGCCAAATTCTGTTTTCAGTTTGACACAATGTTTGATTCACTATCACTGATCTGTGCTACAAAGGTCAATATGTACGTAATGGTGGTGTTCAAAAATATTTGTTGGTCAAATTTATTGTATTTTGAAAATGTTTCAAATGCTTATTAAAAAAACAAAACAAAACTAAGCACACACTTAGTCAATATCCCATTAGGCCAAGAGTTGGACAAGTCTTGTCATTACAAAACAATTGAGGCTTAAGTGAAGTTAATTGGACCAAACTAGTACATTTTGTAACAGCCATGTGATACAGAGAATCAAACAGAACAGCTGGTTGATACGAACGACTATACTGGTAGATTTCAAACCTGCAAGCTTATACTGAGCCTGTCCATACAGCATTAACACCATACATGTCTCACCTCACTTGTCAGTGCTAGATAATGCATTAAGATGTATATCTGTAGCTTAAATACATATACATATGAAATACAACAGGTCTAGGCACTGGTGTTGACTTCACTCCCCTGCCCGGTTTGGCCTCCTCATATACACACCCACATCCATGTAGAATCACAAAATATGCGACAAACCACCCAGGCTTATACTAAACTTCATCAGCTGACAGAACTCATTCCTTTGGCCACGTGTTTAGGGGAAGAGTTAACATTACAAGGCAAAGGACAGTTTGTGGTTTGACACTGGTCAATATCAGGTCATTATGATGAGGCATGTACAGACACAAACTCACAGATGTCCATTATCGGCTGTCACTAGACTTATCAGACGACTTGTCAGAGAATCGATCAGAATTTTTATCCGAATGTTTCTCCTTCTTAGAGAAGAGTCCCTTCTTGAATATGGAGGAAGATTTCTCCCTGGTCACATGTATTCCACCGTTTGATTCCATGGGACTCCTGGAGTGCTGAATCAGATAGTTGTAAACATTTGGAAGTGAGCGATCATCACTTTTGTCTCGTCTAGCGTACAATGACAGCATGTAGTTGCCGCTGCGAGTCAGAGTGATGTTGAAGCGCATGATTGTTGGACGGTCATCAAGCCGGGCCATCTGGACATAATCTCGGTTATCCTCGTCGGGTTCCCTAAGGAACTGGAAGGAAAGGTTGATATTCTGAGGAACTTCCAGCTCAATATGACACAGATTGGAATCAGATATACGGATCTTAGGATCCTTATGTGAAACCAGCTTCAGCCCAAACTCGTCAAAGGAACTTGTGGGTCCCCATTTATTCTTAGAGGAGGAGGAGGAGGTTTTGGGAATTTCCAGCGGAGTGTCGACCTTGGTGCAGTTAATGAGATACTTGCAAGCATGGGATAAGGTGTTGGAATCTGACACCCCTTTCGGACGAGCATACAGGTCAATGCCATACTGTCCTGTCTGTGGAAGGGTGATGGTTAATGTCAAGATTTTGGCATCGGCAGAAAGATGCACAAAAGGATCAAAAATTTGATCTTCGACTTGATTCATTCTCAGTTTGGCCACAAACTGTAAGGGCCTTGGAATATTGAACTTCACACTGAATTTTTCTTCAACCGTGAGTATTCCTGCCTTGGAAGTTTCCACATTGTCACTAGATTCACGCCCTTCGAAAGGCACAGCTGTAAGTCCGAAGTGTCGGAGGGCCTTCTTGGGCCCCCATTCCCCAGCTGCACAGTTGGGAAGCGGATGCATCTTTCCGGACATAGTTGTGCACAGGATCTTAAACTTACACGCACACTTCAGGCGGAATGGAGCAAAGTTTGCATTGTTTTCCTCAACACACCGATTGGTCTCATCGATCTTGTTTGCAAAAATCTCAAAGAAATAATCAGCAACTGTAGGGACATGGACACTGAAGGTGACTGTGTTATCCACCATGGTCTGGAAGACGAACCGCTCCAGGCTAGCTCCGCGGTAAGACAGCTCATGCTTGCGCTCTTTATCAGCAAATCGGAGCTGATAGAAAAACACAAGATCATTTTCCAGTTCCTCTGGGATCTTGATGCTGATTTTCACACCACCTTTGTCATCAGTCTCCAACACTGCCAATCTGCTTTGATCAAACCTCATCCCGTAGTGGAAGAACACTGATCGCACAAACGGCAAGGCTTCGAACTCTGGCAGAGTGATCGGGGTCACAAGCAGCTGCCATTTCTGCTCATATGGCCAGAACTCCTGGATGAACTCATCAGGGTCGGTGAGGAAATAGTGCTCGTCGTACTGGTAGCGGATCTGGTCTCGCTTCTTGGGCTTCTCCTTGTCCTTGTCCTTGTCCTTGTTCAGCACCAGGTGTCTGCGAGAAGGAGGAAGAGCAGTAAGAAACTGGGACAAATACTTTAACTGGACACGAGATTCAATTAAAAAACCCATCAAAATAAATGAGTGAGTGAGTGGTCTTATGCCACTTTTAGCAATATTCCAGCAATATCACGGCAGAGGAAACCAGAAATGGACTTTACACATTGTACCCACATGGGAATCCAACCCGGGTCTTCGGTGTGATAAGCGAACACTGTTACTGCTAGGCTACGAACCCCATATAATGTGAGAAGTAAAATTCATTGGGTCAATAATTATTTTTTAATCATGTTGTCATTTACTAAATTTGCTACTTTGTTAAAGATACTTTGATAATATAGGACAATGAATATGCTTCAGAAACAACTGGAAATAGTGAAACAATGTTGATCCTAACTGTACTGTCCCAAAAGCTGCTTCCAAAAACTTTTATGTCACATCAGCAATATTTCAGACATATCATTACAAGTAGTTGGACGTTTGGAAAAATTATTCTGACATTCACCAGATTAATCGATCAGGTCTTTGTAATAATCTCTCCACAAAACTTTAAAAAATCTAATCAAGAAGTCATTCTTTTGGAAGAAATTCAGACTGACGAAGTCTAGACGAATACTGTATGCCACATAAGGTAATATAGTACTCCTGTACCTGGCTCCCCAGTTGCACTGTATGAGCCTCCAGTCCCCGTCAATCAGCACGCCGTTCCACGTGTTCTGGAAGGTGTCAGGATTGATCTCCATGCCAGGCTCGTACCCCACACTCTTCGAGTGGCCCTTGATCTCCACACAGTGCAGGCCACAATAGCTGCAACACAACACAAACAGTGTCACAGTGACTTCAACACGACACAAACAGTGTCACAGTGACTTCAACACAACACACACAGTGTCACAGTGACTTCAACACAACACACACAGTGTCACAGTGACTTCAACACGACACACACAGTGTCACAGTGACTTCAACACAACACACACAGTGTCACAGTGACTTCAACACGACACACACAGTGTCACAGTGACTTCAACACGACACAACACAGTGTCACAGTGACTTCAACACAACACAAACAGTGTCACAGTGACTTCAACACAACACACACAGTGTCACAGTGACTTCAACACAACACACACAACAGTGACTTCAACACACACACAGTGTCACAGTGACTTCAACACAACACACACAACAGTGACTTCAACACACACACACAGTGTCACAGTGACTTCAACACAACACAAACAGTGTCACAGTGACTTCAACACAACACAAACAGTGTCACAGTGACTTTCAACACAGTGTCACACAGTGTCACAGTGACTTCAACACAACACACACAGTGTCACAGTGTCACACAGTGTCACAGTGACTTCAACACAACACACAAACAGTTCACAACACAGTACACAAACAGTGTCACACAGTGACTTCAACACAACACAAACAGTGTCACAGTGACTTCAACACAACACAAACAGTGTCACAGTGACTTCAACACAACACAAACAGTGTCACAGTGACTTCAACACAACACACACAGTGTCACAGTGACTTCAACACAACACACACAGTGTCACAGTGACTTCAACACAACACACACAGTGTCACAGTGACTTCAACACAACACAAACAGTGTCACAGTGACTTCAACACAACACAAACAGTGTCACACAGTGTAGCTTGGTTAAAGCACTAACCACATTCTCTGTTAGTTCACCCTTTGTCATAAGCTGCTCTACACAAACAGGCCACCAGCTTATAAACTAAATTGCAAATTATATAACTTATATATTGCAGTGTGGCAGAAATATTGTTCACATCCTAAGGTTTTAGCATTCTGACAATATTTTGCTTCAGCATAGGATGTGAATTAATCTTCCTACACAAAATTTAAATTAACCAATTTGTTCATTTAATTTAACATGGCAATAATTAATGTAAGCATATGCTTATTAATTCAAATTCCAACAGGAAATAGAAACTTTGAGTTCTTTTCTTATAATCCTACCAAACCAATATTCTTTGAAATTGTTTTTAAACAGAACAACATAACTTTCATCAAATTTTTGACTACTGTCCAAAGGTTTTGAAAGACAAAATATAAACCAACAAATACAAGGAGTAAGGCCCTATGTGGTAAACCACTGTCACAAGGAATCAAATTTACACATATATAAAACGATGAGCACCAGACCCAGGAAACAGGCGGAATGGTTAGAGTGAGTGCATGCGTGAGTTTAGTGTTACGCTGCACTCAGCAATATTACAGCTATATGGCGGCGGTTTGTAAATAATCAAGTCTGGACCAGACAATCCAGTGATCAACAGCATGAGCATCGATATACACAACTGGGATACGATGAAACGTGTCGACCAAGTCAGCCAGCCTGACCACCCGATCCTGTTAGTCACCTCTTACAACAAGCATGGGTTACTGAAGATCAATTCTAACCCATATTTTCACGTGTCGGAGGTGGTTATAACATGTCCTACCTGCAGAGTCTCATGAACAGCACATGGTAGGTTTCGGTTCCAAACTTAATGCCCCTCAGCAGTCCCATGGGTGTGTCCTCCTCGATGGTTTCATCAAACTCCATCACATTAAGGTCCTTGACGGTGATCCAGCGGTAGATAGCTCTGGTGGACAACCGACACAAGCACATGTACATAGTAAACCACAGGGATACACCATAGAGAATGCAGTGAGTGAATCTCAACCATCAAACCAGTATGGCTGAAGTATGACACCACCACTGACCTTCAGACAAGGTAACTATGTGGGGGTCCAACACAGGGCCTTCAGATTATCCAGCAATCCCATAGCCCCTATTTATAGTTGAGCATGAAAAGGATGACCTTCATAAATATACTTTTTTTATACGGTAGCTTCCCCAAATAAGTGAAATTGCTTCAGATGTATACTATACAAATATTATTGTCATACAAGTTAGAATGTTGAGATGTTGATGAAATAATATTAATGCTGCTTGAGAGAGAAATAGATTTCTGAGCAGGATAATAAATCTTTCATACCCAGCCACAAAGAAAACAGGCTGCACATTTCTGATTGAGAGGATAAATCCCTCCTACCTAAGTAAAAAGCTGCAAGCATTTAATTTTAAAATTAAATATCAATCATGTTCTTCACAACACTCCCCGAATTTGTGTTCTCTTTTTCCATATGTTTCCCATTAATTGTTATGAAGTTAGAGATCCCCTCTCTGACTATTTCAACACCTACTGACCCCACAACATCAGACTACTACAGTTGTGTTGCCTGTGGCTGTAGCTTACCTGGCCTTCTCCAGGTCCGACATAAGGTTCTCTGTCAGCTCCTTGACCAGGTCCGTGTAGGTCAGCTGTTCACCTTCAGCCACCTGTTGGGGGGAAAGGGGTACATACATTGAGGTACATACACTGCAGCTACATGGTGGATGTATCATAGTACATACTCAGCAGAAGGTTTTAAGGAAGACACAGGAATAATCTGTATACTACTGGAAGACACAGGAATAATCTGTATATTACTGGAAGACACAGGAATAATCTGTATATTACTGGAAGACACAGGAATAATCTGTATATTACTGGAAGACACAGGAATAATCTGTATATTACTGGAAGACACAGGAATAATCTGTATATTACTGGAAGACACAGGAATAATCTGTATATTACTATATGGTTAGGAACAAAGCAGAGCATCATAAAATCCCAATTTCTTGATTCTCTGAAGCCAGCAGAAGTAACACAGGACACTATGCCCGATACTAAACAATGAATGGATGGGGACACAGAAACTAGTAGCATTATACAGAACCACTCCAGTGCATATTTATAGTCCAAACTGACACAGAAATACTTCAGCAATGATTTAAAAATTCAGTCGTTTTTATATGGTGTTTGTCATGGCACTGGTTATGTTACTAATCTTGTTGCCATCATTTGGAGGAATGTCTAGCTATCCTTGCATTACTGACAGCTTGCAACACATCTCATCAAATTATGAAGTGTCTGTTCAGTACAGTAACATCCTGTTCAGTACAGTAACATCCTGTTCAGTACAGTAACATCATAATGATAAACGGCTAAGACTAGGTATGTCTTATAAGGTGTGGGTGTGGGTGTGGGTGTGGGTGTGGGTGTGGGTGTGGGTGAGTTTGGTCTTAAGCCTGCCAACCCCTCACACCTTCCATGCTTTTCATGGCCCTTCCAACACAAGTTTTTTATGACCCTACTCATAGCGGCCTCACTTCACTTTACATTTAATTCACCTGATGTTCCAAATACCTTGCAGACAATAGAAATAGACGTTTCTTCCCTCATGAGATAACCATATACACAGTCATGTGGAGGTGTGACATCCGTCAACAGTTCCCAGGTGCCATGGACAGTTAGTTCATTAAAAATGAATTCAGCCGACTCATATTACTTAAACACTCAGCTGAAACTCTGTTAATGTATTCATTGTAGCCTCACATACATTTATATATACTACTCAACATTTGCTAAGGATCAAACAAAAGATTACTGATCTGGTCCTTGACAAATGTTGGGCAGTATACATCAGAAATCACAATGCCAACACTAAACTTCTTGAGGTCTTAATCAATTTACAAAAAAAAAAATGCACAACAAAACGTTTGAGATGAGCATAATTACATCTAATAATTGAGAAATTCCACACATGAAAGGGAACATTTCGTCTTGATTGTCCTGTTGCCTTAGTGATCATCCCTTGCATCAACAACATAACCAAACATGCATGAACAAGCCACTGTATATTCCATGATCAGTCTCCTGTGATCAAACCAATCACAGATTTATAACTTTGTCTACTGGAAGCCAGGTGTTGAGATTTAGCATTATTTACGTCACCCTGACAAATCAGTGTTTTAATCACCCTGGCAGGCTGAACCGAAGGACTACAAGACGTGCGCTGGTGTTTAACAAAGTAGCTTGGGCCAACTGAAACAAGGATTTGGAGCATACAAGCTATGTTTGAACTCTGCAGGAATGGTGCATTTGTGAAACAGGTTCTGCTCTGATAAATCTATTGGTGGCTACAGATGATATCAGCAGACAGTGTATGTGATGGTATTCTGTTGCGTACACAATTCACAAGCCAATGCTTTCGTGACAGAAGACTTATTTGTTAATGGCTGATTTAACTGCTCTTCAAAAAGATGATATGGACATAAAACTGTCGTTCAACTTCTTTGAAAGAAATTTGTATCAGCAAAAATAATGAACTTATAACACAAGATTCTACTCTTACAGACTCTCAAATCTCTGAATAGATTCCTGATATATTAAGAGACATGTTTATTATAGTGGGTGAGGTTTAACGTCCCTTGACAGGTATTCCAGTTGTACAATCTGAGCTTGACGTGGGAAGAAAGCCTAAGACATATATGTCTCAATGATAAACCTGAAATCGTGATAATTGTTGTGGAAAATGAAAGCTATATGTTCTCACAATCTACTGTCATTTAATTTTGTCTCCTGCTTTGCCTAGTTTCCGAAGTTACAACTTGTTTTCATAGACGCATTCTGTCAAAATCGATTGGTGTCAGTAGGGGTCCCTATTTGTATAATGACTGATCCAAATTGATCCCATTTCTGTGTTGTTTTACCTCGATATTTAATCATGTCATGTAAAAATCTGTTTGTATTCTCAAAACAGTGTCGGCCCATAAGTTTTCACATGCAATACAGCAATTAATACTCCCTCAAGTTGTAACCCGTGGTTAGGTGGTATAAACCTACACATGTTATTTGTCATCATTCACTTGATGGTCAGTTAATGAATTTATAACAGGTATAATTAGTGGTAACACACTTAGATTACCCGACAAAGGTTCCCATTTGGCATTTCTTGTGTCTGGAGTAAATATTCAACATTATAAAGATCGATCAAAGGATTAACCGATAACACGCTGATTGATTAATTACTTTTATCTTACACAGCTGAATTGTCAAAAGGTAGTGTTTATGTATGTAGATTTACTAATCTATACTGAATACACTCTGTCGTGGTCGGTGTTCATGCGAAAACAACGCCCTTCTTTCAAAGGATTAACCGCAATACATTGATTGATTGCCCATTATTGGCTAACTAAATTACTGTTTTTAAAGAAAGGCGGACATTATGCAATTAGTTGCCAGGTGTGCTATCTTGGGTGACCAATGAGACTATACACCAATACCTGAAAAGATTTATCACTTTTCAGATATTAAACTGTTAAAAGACACATCATTTGGAACAGTTGTGTGGATATTGATGGATACATTCCTAACAAGGTAATGGCCTGATATTGTTCCTATAACTTTAATCTGTTTTAATTTTAATATTTGCATTTTGTTTTTATTCATTTGTCGTAGCATTCAACAGAATCATTGTTTTCGCCGTGAAGTGTAATGAGACAGACAACATGCACTAGGAAGTGTGTGCGAATTATGATTCACATTGGCAAACTATAAAATGTCTAGATATTACAGTTCTGTTATAAATTCACTATAAGTATCAGCAGATCGCCTGCTTTTCATTTAGTTTCAAAATGCATACAAGTGTGATAATAAACTAATTAGGATTATAAGACAAAAATATAAAGACTATTACATTGACTAGTATCTACATACTGGTGAGTGGACATTAACCATGGGAATGTAGCAAGAAATTTATCGCTACAGTATTGTGGACTTCGACCCCACCTCGCCTCCGTGGAAGAAATCGCTATGTTATAAGTTGTGTCATGCAAAATCCGTTTGGTTATGATTCCAATACATATTTAACAACGAGTAGAAAGTAGTCTTGATTTTCTAACTTGATGAAAACAAACTATAATCTCATTAATTCTAACAGATTTGTTTATTTTAAAATGGCGGCGCTCTATCGGGAACATCCGCCAGTCTGAGGATAAATGGTATTGTTAAGCCTTTGTTTTGACCCTTGAACACAGGCATGTTCCTAACAAATCTAGAAGCAGAATCGCTGTGAGGCCAGACCAGTTTTATTTCTTGTTTTATGGATCCGGTGGTTGTATTTTTTCAAGAATAAGAAAAAAAAAAAAATAATTTTCCTCGCTCAAAAATAAAATCCTCATGTTTTATTGGCCAAAAATGTAAACTTACAACAAATAATTTTTTGATTGTTTTTTGCCCCATATAAAATTCATAAATTGCCAAAAATAAAATACTTTTAGCATTTAAAAGGAAAATTATTTTGACTAGTGATTTTTATTTTTTATTTTTTCCCTCCTGCCTTTAGGTTTTCTGGGGACAAAAATCCGTAAAACAAGAAATAAAATTGGTCTGGCCTGAACTGGGATTGAAACCCTCAGGTTTGTGGCATTTCTAATGGACACAGCTGCACTGCAATGCAGGATGATTATAAGGTATATGTTTACTATACAGGGAAAGCCCACGACCAACAGCGAGTCTGTACACGCATGGTCCGTTCATCTTCTCCATCAGAACAAAGCGTCTTCAAATATTATGTCTCCCTTATACTTAGTGTAATCATGCAATCTCGTTTATAGGGAACATGTCAATAAGTCAAAAGTGACAACCGGGTTTCACCATAAACGTCATTATATAATCAATATGACAAACAGCTAAATGACTGTCGGTGTTAATTACACTGTCACACAGTCAATGATTTATCGGCAAAGACCATGAAGGTGTCATTGATCGGGAGAGACTGATCAGCTGGCTTGACAGGTGTATTCTTGGCCACTGTTGGCTATGGAAAGGCTATTGGCAAAGTGCTACAGTATAACATGTATGTGACAAGAGGGTTGATGGATGGGTCAGTCTGGTCGTAACCCCCGCCTTGTTGGTGATGGGTGCCGATAAACACGGTAGTACATTGAACCTGTGGCTTCATTCTCATTCTTAATCATGGACCTACTGTTTTCAGTGCAGTTGGATTGTGTTTCTGCAGTGGAGTGAGTGAGTAAGGTTTTACACTGCTTTTAGCAATATTCCAGCAATATCACAGCGGGGGACACCAGGAATGGGCTTCACACATTGTACCCATGTGGGGAATCGAACCTGGGTCTACAGCTTGATCGTCCGTTTGACCATTTCTGCAGTGGAAGAGATGATGATACACGAGTCCAACAAAACTTGCATGACATCTTATCCCCTGACTTATTAGACAGCAAGGACACATTTTCTCCCTCTAACTCTGAAGGTCAAACCTTAACCTCAAGGTCACAAACATGTTGTCATGGCTACCGTCACGTTGATATGACAGGTATACCTCAATGTCAACCTTGTGTTGTCAAGATCACTCGCATATTGTCAAGATCACCTATATCACTCAGCACTCTGTAAGTTGTACATCAATTTACTATGTTCTATTTTGGTGAGATTTCACCACATGCTGGGCACTGTAAAGCCATTATATTTGTCCCATGAGGGTGAGAGGTTCAACTCACCTCAATAACTTGCTCATCAATATCGCTGAAGACGCTGACGTCACTGTAGAGATTTCTCTTCCGACAGCGTGGTGGTTTAGGTGACGGTGGTTCGAAGACTGTTGGCGTCTGCAGCACCTCTATTATCTCTTCCACTGGTGGCTCAGACACCTGCCCTGTCGATTGCTCTGTCTGGAAACAACAACATGCTCATCAGCTGCTACAGTGATCAACTCGAGATTTTGTAAAGAAAGGAAGTTAAACAACAACAAAGGGTATTTTACAATTTTTAATGTTTGTGATTTTCTAAAATCCTGGAATTGAAAAGTTTTGGGAACTATTTAGAATCCTCTGTTCCACAGAGTGTCATCTAATTAATATCATGTGGATCCACAAGGGCATGAAAGGAACACGATGACCTTGTTTTTTACAGCTTTAATTTTGTCAATTTATTTATATAAACTAGCCATACAATTTAAAAAACCATGTAAACCAAATCATTAAACAGTTGAACTAGAACAGGATCCCTGTCCTCTGGTGCAACTACTCACAGACTTCCACGAAGGTCACCCCTCACCTGAACGTCATTCTGCAGCTCAACTGCCAGCTCCTTCTGCAGCTCCACTGCCAGCTCCTTCTTCATCTCCTCCTGTTTGGCTGCAAGAAGACTCAGCATCTGAACGCTCTGTCGCTTGACGAGGTCAGAGGTTGTACTCTGTTCCTTCTCCCTCATCCTCAAGGTCATTGTTTTCTTCTTCTTCTCCCTCTTCATTGACATCGTCTTCTGGAGGACGTTCTTTTCATTCTCAAACTGGACTGTCATCAGCTGTGACAAACAAAGGTTTCATATAGGTTGAGTCTGAGATGCAAGTTCTTTGACATTTACCACTCAGAGCTTATTAATCAAGCGTAAGAGTGAACTGGAATCAAGCCAATGACCAAGGAACATGACACCACCTAGGAACATAACATTACTAAGGAACATGACACCACAAAGGAACATGAGTGAGTGAGTGAGTGAGTGAGTGGGTGGGTATGGTTTTAGGCTGTTTTAGCAGTATTCCAGCAATATTATGGTGGGGAACACCAGAAATGGGCTTCACACATTGTGTCCATGTGGGAAATCGAACCCGAGTCTTCAGCGTGACGAGCCAACGCTTTAACCACTAGGCTATCCCACCGCCCCCTAAGGAATATGACATCACTAAGGAACATGACACCACTAGGGAATATGACACCACTAGAGAACATGACATCACTAGGGAACATGACACCACTAGGGAACATGACACCACTAAGGGAACATGACACCACTAAGGGAACATGACACCACTAAGGAACATGACACCACTAAGGAACATGACACCACTAGGGAACATGACACCACTAAGGAACATGACACCACTAGAGAACATGACACCACTAAGGAACATGACACCACTAGGGAACATGACACCACTAAGGAACATGACACCACTAAGGAACATGACACCACTAGGGAACATGACACCACTAGGGAACATGACACCACTAGGGAACATGACACCACTAGGGAACATGACACCACTAGGAAACATGACACCACTAGGGAACATGACACCACTAGAGAACATGACACCACTAAGGAACATGACACCACTAAGGAACATGACACCACTAAGGAACATGACACCACTAGGGAATATGACACCACTAGGGAATATGACACCACTAAGGAACACAATTCTAAATTTCCGTACCCAAGACAAATGGACCATTATAAGAGGCATTACCTTACAGCTAGATACTGCCAATACCACTCTAGCATCTTCAGATAAACGTCTACATTTACTGCCATATTCTTCAGTACACCTACTTAACTTGTTTGCTTCATTCCCTTATACGTATATATAAATACAATACAGATAAATATTACACCATATTGGTCAGAGCTGATAGGAGGTCACAAAACATATTAAAACAGTTTACCCTGAAAAACAAAAGACAATAACACTCCAGAAGTATTAGCTGTGAAGCAAGCCCATTAAATGAAGGCACCTTGAGTGGAAAGTCTGGACAAGTAAAACATGAGTCATATAAGCAGGGCTCAGACTCCAACAAATATATAACAGCCACGGACTGACATCCATGTCTCCTGCATCTAAATCCCTGTTTATGCCAAGCTGGGATGACTCATAACCCTGACTCTCTGAACTGACTATTTACCTGAAGACCTCAAGCCTTTTCAAAGTAAAAATTTGAGAAACGCAACTTGCTACATCTATGGACCACAATAATATGAGAGATGACAAATAAATTCCCAGCTGTGACTTTCCATAAACTTCCAAAGATTCAGTCCTAAAACACCTGTAGTCAGTCTAAAGTCATTGTTGTATTACCTTAAGCTACCAAAGTCTGATTAAATTGGTTTGAATTAGCAAAAGGGAGATCACTCTTAAATATTTTTAAAATTTGTCTCCCTTTGGTTGACTGCAAAACTGCAAATATCAGGATTTTCATGCCCATGGAACTATGTTTAAAAATAGAATAATAATCTAGATAATCCTAGCAAACCAAACATAAATCTTCTTAGAGCAAACTTGTTCATGAGGACCTGTCTGCGCTTAGTGTTTGTTGAATTAACATGTCTGCATTTGAAGATTTGCAATAATCTATTTCAAACTTGTGAGTTAAAATACTTAACATGCCTATTTCCTGTTATACTGAGGCCAACAAAGTCACCCTGGTGCATGTATAGAGTCACAGAGTGTTTGTGTATTCTGTTATCTGCATATTTTAAGGATCTGATTACCAAGTTGTAGTGACCTAAGAAATGGCTTCTGTAGCTATACCCTAAAGAAATCCGAAACAATGCCCATCGAACCAGTGTATAAAATAGTTTTGTAATATTGCCTGTCCAAGGACTGGCTGTCCAAAAACGTTACCAGTCCTGAACAAACACAGCCTGTCCAAAAACTAAAACAATAACAAAATAATAGATGAGACGAAGTTCAAACCAAGTTAAGTTTATTTTTTCAAATATTTCCTCCGACCAAAGGACGGCCATACTTATTTAATAGACCGTCCTTCACAAAAATACAGGGTCAAGGACGGTGGGACGGTATATGTTTTCTTCTCAATTCTTCTCCCTTGTGCTGAGAGTTTCAATTTCAAATGTAGTACCCTAAATTCAATATTCATTGAAGTACTGTGAGAAATTAATGAGGATCTTTGCGGTTTATGTTCAATTCAGGAAACAGTTTGACTAGTTTTTGACATAGAAGAAAGAGGCAAAAACAAGATGGCACTTTAGATGAAACATTCAAATCACAGATCTCCATATACACAAGATCACTGAACAACGAGAGCTCAAGACATTATTGGAAACATTTCACTCATGCTGTGTTTTACATAGACTAAGTGGTTTATTGCAGGTAAAGCCTGAAGGGAAGCAGTCAACATGATTTATGAATCATATGTATTATGGCTTTCTCCTTCCACAAACTTGATACAGCCCTTTGATCATTGTGATAAGAATTATTGGCTGCTGACAATCTGGGAATGTGTGGGTGTTGCACTATTTGAGGGTCAGGTGATATTCAAAACACACTTAACCTGTCAGATGAAGGTGACACAGCAACATCCCCAATACGGCAGACCTTGACACAGGGGAGTCACAAGTACTTGCTTGCGAGGAGTCATAAAATGTCAGATAACTATCTAAATGTTTTCAAAAAATTCTTTAAATCAAGTTTGCAGTCACGGAAGAAGCATGTTTACAGCCCTGATTGTTGAGGGTGACAATAATGCAGGAAATGATTGCATGTGAATACAGTGGTTATTAGCCTGATCTGAAGTCAAACCTACACAGGTACCACTGGCCGTATTCATTCAAGACTTGATCAAATGTGGTTAAGTCAGGAAATCTACCAGTAAATACATTTTGACATTGCTGGTAGCATTGCATGGCATGTGTTTTGAACATGCGATTCATGGCTGAAGTTTCAACAGACACCCCAACAGTTCATCAACATTGCCTTGCACGGGCAACAGAACTATCACTGGCCACACATCATAAAGGATTGGGTGTACAATGTACTTATAATAACATTACTAATTATTTTCACATACCATATATTACCGTGATTAATGATATTTTCACATTTATATCAAACAGTGATTAATGTCACTTTTACAGAACCATTTTTGGCAACATACCACCCACGTCACAGCGAGACCCACCAGAAGATGGTTTCCATAGTGTGTTGCAGTAACAGAATCAAACCAAGTTCTCTGACACAACCTGTGAATGATCCAACCATGATGCAAACACATTGCCTTCAGTTTATAATGTATTATATAGATATTCATTCTACCATTTGCTCTATATACTGTTGTTTTCAATTTCTCTAAGGAAGATATGTTTCAGTTGGAAGCTTCTCGGTGATCCTCCGCTAGTGAAATATTTGTTTTCCCTTCACTCACCTTCCTCTCATTATCCTTCAGTTTCTTCCTCTTCCCTTCCATCTGCTTGTCAAACTTTTCCGTCAAGTCCTTGAGGCGCACCTCCCATTCTTTGTTTATCTCCTCGGAGATCTTCTCTGATTCCTGTTTCCTCACAGACTGGAAGCCGCGGAACATCTCGTCCTCCTCCTTCCGCAACTTGGCCTCCAGCTCCTTCTGGGCATTGAACAGCTGCTCCCGCCGCTTGGCCTGGAACAAGAACAGGGACATTAGAAACAAGAACAGGGACATTAGGACATTAGGAACAAGAACAGGGATATTAGCAACAAGAACAGAGACGTGAGGAACAAGAACAGAGACGTGAGGAACAAAAACAGGGACATTAGGAACAAGAACAGGGACATTAGGAACAAGAACAGGGACATTAGGAACAAGATGAGGGACATTAGGAAAAAGAACAGGGCCAGTAGAAACAAGAACAGAGACATGAGGAACAGGAACATGAGCATTTAGAACAAAGCCAGAAACAAGTGGAACGAGAACAAGAACATTGGGAACAAAACATTAAACAGAAACAAGAACTGGTTTCTGCCACTTGGCCTACATAAAGAACCAATACAGAAAACAGTTGCTTTTAATATTTTGTGGGTTTTCAATAACTAAGTTAGCGAGAAGGGTTTCAGAGCTGGTGTGTCATGTAATGATGTTATGTGATCCAATGGAGTGGCTGACTGAACTGATGCAGTGTTGATCGCTATTCCACCTATATCACAACATGTCAGTTTAATTCAAGAGATACCCACAGTGATGCTTGAGTAAGATGTTTACGACGGGTATGTGTCTGGTGCTGGCTAACCAAGACACACAACTGGACAAAACTAAATATTAGTAAACCAAGGACTGGGAACACAACCATTTCTCCAGATCAAAGTAACACTATTCAACTCTCAGTGTCAGGGTTCAAGGAGCGGTCGGGTAACCTAGTGGTTAAAGCGTTTGCTTGTCATGCCCAAGGTGCGGGTTTGATTCCCCACATGGGTAAAATGGGTGAAGCCCATTTCTAGTGTCCCCCTGCCATGATGTTGCTGGAATATTGCCAAAAGCGGCGTAAAACCATACTCACTCACTCAGGGTTCAAAATTACCACAAGTGAACTCATCTGAGATGAGCAAAATTCCAGGATTTGTCACATTTACATATGGACTCACAGTTTTACCATTAGGTAGATGACACATGTACCTGGCTATGGGGACCCATCAGTTGTCTTAACTATCCAATAAACACAGCATTTAGGGCATCAACAAGCAGCATTTCCCCATTACCTTTCTGTAATAACAACTCTAATAAATTACTAGGGAGACACGTGTTTAGTGTGTTCCTCCCTTCCATGACTACCCTTATAATGGGTCAATAAAATACAAACATAGCCTTAAACACATTAGCTTGCAGGTGACTGTCATAATGACGGATAGGGTTCAGTTAAATGGCAAAAGCATGTTGTGAGGGAATTATCTCATGTGCCGTTTCACCATGGAAACTGGTCCTTCAAAGCAGCAATTAACATGACGTTTGTGTCAGCCAGAAGATGAGCCCATGGGCTTAGTACCAACTACTGTATTCCCAGCACAGATCCTCAACAACACCATTTATCATAGCTCAGAATAATTCCTTCCCTGGGAACCAGGGATCAGCTGGTGTCTGTTATGTCACACATAGGGCTTGTGTTTGCATGGAGACCAGGATTCAACAGGTGTAAATGTCCACATCATTTAAAGTCTGCTCAGATGTTACCTTCCAGGATATCAATCATGTTGTGTTTGAGCCGAGGTTGGATCATAAACATCACTGACAGGTACTTAACATGTTACAAAACTTGGTGTCAGACTGAACAGGCCAGATCTTAAAGCACAATAAAATACCATAATAGACTTCATTATATTACTACAATAATACCAGCAGTACAATGGTGTCCTGTAGACTTCATTGACACCTACAATAATACCAGCAGTACAATGGTGTTCGGTAGACTTCATTGACACCTACAATAATACCAGCAGTACAATGGTGTCCTGTAGACTTCATTGACACCTACGATAATACCAGCAGTACAATGGTGTCCTGTAGACTTCATTGACACCTACAATAATACCAGCAGTACAATGGTGTCCTGTAGACTTCATTGACACCTACAATAATACCAGCAGTACAATGGTGTTCTGTAGACTTCATTGACACCTACAATAATACCAGCAGTACAATGGTGTCCTGTAGACTTCATTGACACCTACAATAATACCAGCAGTACAATGGTGTCCTGTAGACTTCATTGACACCTACAATAATACCAGCAGTACAATGGTGGTGTCCTGTAGACTTCTGTAGATTGACACCTACGATAATACCAGCAGTACAATGGTGTCCTGTAGACTTCATTGACACCTACGATAATACCAGCAGTACAATGGTGTCCTGTAGACTTCATTGACACCTACAATAATACCAGCAGTACAATGGTGTCCTGTAGACTTCATTGACACCTACAATAATACCAGCAGTACAATGGTGTCCTGTAGACTTCATTGACACCTACGATAATACCAACAGTACAATGGTGTCCTGTAGACTTTATTGACACCTACAAGAATACCAGCAGTACAATGGCGTTCAGTAGGCTTCATTGACACCAACAATAATACCAGCAGTAAGACAGCCCTGTATACACCTACATTCATACCAAGAGAGTCCTGTAAGTGTACGCCCCCTTCACTAACATATCCATCATATTTGCAGCAGTTCGCAAAGCAAAGACATGGAAGCCAACTTGTTTGAACAAATGTGTGTGAAGTTCATCTCTGAATGGTCAGCCTGTATAGAGTAACCCACCAGGTAGTAGATTGGAAAACCAGTTTGTAGGTTATAAACACTAGATGCTTCCTGGACCTATAGCTGGATCACTTTACAAACCAGGACACAGACACCCTCTACACAAATGTAGGTCTCCTCAATGATTCTGTAAACAATGACAAGCAGTTGTTAGTGTTTGGCACCAGTCATTTGCTGATAAAATACCACCACTCGGAAACTTTGTCATCCAGCAAATATAATTTGTAACAGTAAATATACCTGACCAATGAAATGTTCCAAAACTTTCACCATGTGGGACAAAACTGGTTAAATGGTTATATCATATTACCTAGAAGTCTATACATTCAGTTGTTAGCATATATTTACACTTCCACCCAGAAAATGTTGAACAAAGACCTACACAAAAGAGGTGATTACAGGAGAATGTCGTTCTAAATTTCAGACACGGAAGAATGGCTATAATATTTCTGGTGTGAAATTTGATCAGTCACGATCCATCCCAAGATGGTGGGTGGGGACTGTCAACCCATCCTTTTGTCATGGTCACAGTCTGGTAATTGTCACCAACTTGACAGCCCTAGTATGTGTAAACCAAACCTACATACGCATTGTAAATATAACATAAGTTTTGTCAGACTATATTGCTTGCATTGTACATCACACTGTTTCAATTACCAACTTACACCTGAAGTGTAAGACTTGGTGTATTTCTATAGTAAACACAGTAAGCACAAGAGAGTGAACAGATTGAATAGTTGGAAAACCGTGTTGTAATGACACTTTAAGAAGTAACAGTACAATAACCGGTACTGCAAGTACAGCAAGATGTCTCACCACATGAGCCCTCTATTCACCACCTATATGATAACAATATTCTTTCCTATTTTTAATAATTCTTTCTTTTTCAAGGCATTGTTTGATTTAAAACCAGTGACTATACCCACAGATTCACAACATGTAGTCTTAGAACTCAATAGCAATCATTATTCAGATTCACCATTCTGTAAACACATTGGCTAATGATCTTCATATTTACTGATTTAAACTTTCACGTTTTAGAATATGGAATTCATACATATAATGAAAATTTAATTTACACCATAATAACTTGAAAATCTGACACACCAACATACCAAATTCCATTTTCAAAACATTCTTTTAACATTCATCACACCTTGAAGATTCATCTTTTCATTCAAACTTGTGGCATTCAGGCCCTGTATCTGTGAGTCTGTGTTGAACTGCCAACATCATCAGTTGAAATAAACTGATGGCCAAAAGAGAATTTACCTGTTCACTTTTCAGAAAATGCAAAAAAAGTGAAAAATGTGCCACTTTGGTAGCCAAAACAACATCGGCAATCAGGCTGCATAAAGGGTACGAACGGGATGTGAAACACACTGATAAAAAAGCGAAATGAATAAACACTTAAATGTCTTGACTGACACATGCACAGCTTGAGCCAACCCTGGGTATGATACAGACACGCCCAGATTTCTAGAACACTTGGTTCCACTCACAGTGCTGTAATGGAGGTTACAGAGAGGCAGGGCAGATATCAGACAGGGAAAGAACAGGAAGAACCAAGAAAGGTTCACAGAGTAATTGGCGGAATCAGAATGGATACCTGACAGTGTATCAAATGCATCTGGGCAATGTTGAGACACAGTACTGGGTGCTGATACAGCTAGCCTTTTGCGGCTGATCAGAAAATTTGGCATGAAATGCATGTGACCGTAAATATCTCTTCAATGACCCAAATCTCAAACTGTGCAGTGGATGTTTTGTCAGACAACCTAATCACATTGTAAATCACCGATTTTATGCATTTGTATTAAAGAACTGTGGCTATGGAACTGTCAACAAAATAAACAGCAGAAAGCAGACCGCTGCAGAGGGAGGGAGCCAATGACCTGTAACAGCGGTAGTGTTGGGTCATAAAGGTAAATGCACGTGCAGTTCATGATAGTTACCTGTGCACTGCAGATCATTCACATTGACTACTTCTAGCTTCACATGAAAGCTTATTCAGATGATTTACAATGTGATCATGACAAAACATCCACTTACAGTTTGAGACTGAGATGGGCCCAACATCAGTTACGGGTTTGCTTTCATAAAACCTTTGATGAAAGTGTACAAAAATTGTACTGTCAATAATTTATTCATTGGTCTAAAGGACATTTTGAAAGTCTGCTTTTTCCCTAACGAAATATCCGATATTGAATTCTTCGACTTGTTTTTCTTTTTGTGGGGAATAATATCTGCCTCGTTTGTTTCAATGACTCCCCTAACCGTCGAGGGAGATGTGATGGCTCCCCGCTTCATCTGTCGTCGCAAAAACACGGCCTCTGGTTCTGACTTCATCTGTCGTGACAAGCCTC